GGACTAAGAACTGTTTCAGGGTCACATCATGGTCTAAGAACTGTTTCAGGGTCACATCATGGTCTAAGAACTGTTTCAGGGTCACATCATGGTTTAAGAACTGTTTCAGGGTCACATCATGGTTTAAGAACTGTTTCAGGGTCACATCATGGACTAAGAACTGTTTCAGGGTCACATCATGGTCTGAGAATGTTTACCTTCTCTGACTCCAGCTGTCTGCAGAGATCATTAAGCTCCGAGTCTTTCTGCTGCAGCTTCACCTCCAGCAGCTGAGAATAAATATCAAGAATATTTCAGCTCATATAAGAAACATTTTAGCTTATATAAATATTTCAGCTCATTTATGTCTTTAAAACAAAACATTTTCCAGTTTTTCTTCAGACTCACAGAGTTTTGGGCTCGTGTTTCTGCCAGMCTGCTCACTAACTGGTTCTTCTGCTCCTGCAGCTGGTTGGACTCCACCTGTGCAGAACCAGAGCAGAACATGAGGGTTCCAGGATCCAGCAGGACCTCCTGACCCCATGTGGCTCCTCACCTGAGCCTCCTGCTGCTCCCTGAGGAGGTGCCTCAGGCTTCTGTTTGTGGCTTCAAAGGTCTTCAGCTTCTGCAGCAGCAGCTCCTTCTGCCGGCTCAGAGCCGAGGACAGCTTCTGCAGCAGAGGACAAGTGGTCCTCAAACTGTCCTCTGAGGTCAGACACAAACCTGATCCTGGACCAGACCCACCTGTGGACCAGACTCACCTGTGGACCAGACTCACCTGTGGACCAGAAGCGAGCAGGTTGTTGACAGAGTCTCTGAGAGCTGAGATGTTCTGAGCTGCAGCAGCTCCATCAGCCTCAGCCTGCAGCAGCTTCCTGAGCAGAAGCTGTCCCCGCGGCTCTGGCTCCGCCCCCTGCAGMAGCCGGTCCATGGACCGGACCAGTCCGGAGTTCTGTCGCTCGCTGTCTCGCAGCTCCTGGGTCACCTGAGCCAGCTCCTGCTCCTGGTCCAGGATCAGCTGCTCCGCCCTCCTCAGCTCCACCTGGACACACAGACTGAGTCTCTGAACCTGGAACTGGACCCTGAACAGAAAGTCCAACCAGAGGACCCGGAGGACCCAGACCTGGTTCTTCAGAGAGCTGACTTCTGTCATCAAGCTGTCGATGGTCCTCTCGTACTGACTGATCCGTCCCTGCAGGACCTCGTCTTCCTCTGGGGTCAGGTCAGAGAGGCGCAGAGTAGACTGGCAGGGTTCTGGTTCTGGTTCTGGTTCTGTGAGCGGCCCCTTCAATAAACACACAGACCCTGAGTACGAGCAGAAGGATCCTCAGTCCTGAAACAAGACTCAGGTCTGACCTCCCACTTGGTGGACACGCCCCTCAGTGAGGGTCTTCCTGGTGGGACCCAAGGCCTGCAGGTTCTGACCTTAGCTGTGGGACGAAGGCCGGTCCGGTCCACGTTAGTCCTTCTCTGTAAACACAGAGGACAGAGGACAGAGGACAGATGGACAGAGGACAGATGGATAGATGGACAGATGGACAGAGGACAGATGGATAGATGGACAGAGGG